GAACCTGCATTTTCTCCTGTGTCGCAGTGAGCACACACGTGAACCTGCATTTTCTCCCGTGTTGCAGTGAGCACACACATGAACCTGCATTTTCTTCTATGTTGCAGTGAGCACACACACATGAACCTGCATTTTCTCACGTGTTGCTGTGAGCACACACACATTAAGCTACATTTTCTTGGATGTGTTGACCAATAGCAGACAGTCCCTGCTCTTACCTTCTGAATTTCTCCAGACCTGCTGACCCATCCCTGCTTTGACTGTCCAGCCTCTCCCCTTCCTCTCCTTGTGGTGCAAAAATACCAACAGGAAGTGAGGGAATATCAGCGGATAAAGCGATTGTTCCAGTTTTGAGGAAAATGATAGAACAATAATTAAAAACGTCTTCACTCTCCAGTGGCATAACCATAAAATGGAGGTTTGCTTCTCTTGCTAGAAATACAGAGAGGTGCAATTCCCCCTACTCCCATTATGTTAGTCTGGGAGATAAACTCCAGACTTACTGCCGTGGAGTCAATTAGACTCATAGCAACCCCTCCTTGGGTTGAAGTGGTATCTATGTGGAAGTAGATTGTCCAGTCTTCCTTCTGAGGAGTGGCTGCTGGGTTTGAACTGCCAGCCTTAGGGTTAGCAGTCAAATGCCTTAGGCACTACAAAATTCCTGTCTCAGGATTTTATTCTAGTTAAGTAGGTAAAAAAGGTTGGTAGATACCTTTGTGAAATGTTTTCTTTAAACTCAATTCTAAATCTTCCTTGAATTACATTCATTTAAAAAACAATAGCTATGCATTTTTGTGAAATAGTTCAATCAGAATATCAAAATTACATGGATGGATGTTAAAGATGGTCACAAAATTCTTGCACCCTTGCTGCGCCTGGCATCAGAGTCCTTAGAAATTACTTGTTGACTTTGAACAGAATTTCTGGTGGGTTGGGTGAGGGTTTATCTAGCACTCAAGCAAAGCATTTTGTTTAAGTTATATTGCCAAACTTGGAAGAAACTTTTGAGCACTAACCAAAAAAACCAAACCCACTACCATCGAGTTGATTCTCATAGCGACCCCATTGGGTTTCCAAGGCTGTAAATTTTTTCATCTTCCTCCTGCGGAGCAGCTAGTGGGTTGGAACTGCTGACCTTTTGGTTAGCCACCAAATTCCTTACCCATTGCACTATCAGAGCTCCTTTTTTGAACAGTAGCAGCACTTAACTATCAACTCACACTGAATACCTCTTGAATTAGTTACTTTTTCAATGAGGACCTTTCTATTTTATTTTCTGTTTTATCAGAATTTCAGAACTGAATGTTACTTGTGACATGCTTGATAACCTGCCTTCTGATTTTCATTTCATCACAATTAGTGGGAGGGGTAAAAAAAAATCACAAGTAGAAAGCAGGGCAAGCCATTTAAATTGGCCATGCTCCCCCCCCCCAGTCCTGTGTCCCGAGGTCTGGAAGCCTTGGTGACACTTCTGTGGCCACCTCTCACTCCCCATTTGCTGAGGCTCAGGAAGGGGCGTCCCTGCTCTGCTGGCCTGGGCATGCTCTCCGGGCCTTGCCAATTCTGTGTTTCGATTCTGTGTTTCGTAGAATTTGAGTCATAGAAGATGGTCTGTTGAGAACGCATCTCAACATTGTATTTAGGCATAAAAAAAAGAAAAATAAGTGCCGGGACACCTCGGGACACTTGGGGCCTCCATGAAGCCCCAGAGGAAGCCATCAAAAGCGAGGTCATTGCGGAGGGTGGCCCAAGGGTGGTGTAGGACAGATGGGAAACGGTTCACCGTTTTCCAACCCCTTATGGGTGGTTTTTCGGAGGAGGGGGGAGTCCGTGTTTTCTCACCATCAGCTAAGAACGCATCTTTATTTCTTCTTTGCCCGTTTGTATCACTGAAGAAGAATTCTGATTTCTCCGGGAGGCAGTGAAATGCTGCCTGTTGTTTCCTGGCGTGTGAGCGTGATCGAAACCCAAGGACGTTACTCTTTGTACCCTGGGGTCCTTTCCCGGTTTATGCCATAAGAATGTAATCATCAGAACATGTCAATCGAGAAAGCAGTTAACACGAGGGTAGAGTCTGCCTCTTGTAGGGGAGGGGTCTGCTTGTCTCCTGTTTCAAAATGAAAAGCCAGTTGTTGGCTTGGTAATTGGTTGCCTAGACAGTCTTCCACTTTTCTGACTCTCTCCCTCTTTCAGTATGCCTTCAGAAGTTTTACTCAAGATCTTTTCTTACCTGGA